AGAGAGAGAGAGAGAGAGAGAGAGAGAGAGAGAGGAGTCTGCTCAGTCATCGTGAACATCTGTTTCATAAATTTTTTGTCCGGCTTAAAGACTTAGCCAATCGCCAACGGAAACGTCGTTCGTCGATGAGGAGAAAAAGAGTAAAAAAAAAAAAAGTTTCTTGATTGACCGTCGAACAGCAGAATCGCGGAGAATTGGACCGAATTCCGGGCCATTTATTTATTCGTTAATCGAATAGTCGCAAACGAGGGACTCGAGGGAAATGTAATTTCCAATCGCGGCTTCTTTATACAGATCGCCATTACCGGAGACCGTCCATGAAAATTCCATGAAAATCTTGTTAAGCCACGAATTTAGAGATCGAATAACTTTATATCCCGGAATGGCTGTTGTTCGCCTTCCACCTCTTTCTCTTCTTGCACACGACACACGTGTTTCTTTTCTCTCGTACGACATATTGAAATGCAGATACGGCGCATCGACTTTCGGATCGTTGGCCGTATGCGATATCCTTCGACGACGGATGGACGGACCAAAACGTCCCAAGAGGATCCTTTAAATCGCATCTCGCGGCGTTTCGCCTCTCTCTCTCTCTCTCTTACAAACACGGAGGAGAAAGGTAGGTAGGAAAATAAAAGGGGGAGGTTTGAATCGTGTGCTGCACCATCGCCTCGAATTTCCCCTCGGTATCCGGCTCGCTCTTCCCTCGTGTTTCTCGTCTCGGATATTTCGCGATGGCGGCTCCTTCCTTTGTGAAGAAGGAAAGAAGGAAAACGAGGAATTCCCCCGGACTTGGATAGTTTGCGCAAGATTGAAAATCTCGCTGTCGAGAGTTTCGAGAGGGAATCGGTGAAATCGTTGCCTCGTATTCGAGAGGCAATAACATGTTGGGGGATTTATTGAACATTTTGCCAGGGAAATGATAATAATCGGCGAAGAGGGAAGGCGGTATTTTATATTGGATGAAAGTTTGTCGAGCAATTGTGCAGGGAATTTTCTTTTTCTTTTTTCTTCGATCCCTTGTTTCGAGATACTCGTTAAGTTTTGCGGTGAACATGTTAATTTAACGCGAGAAGGATTGGTTGTGGATAGGAGTTAAGAACGGTTGAATCGGATATCGTGTATTGTAAACGATGAGACGGGAACTCGTTAAGGAACTCGCGTTCTCGACGATGCTTGAATCCGCCGACAAATTCTTGCGGGGAACCTAGATAATATAAAAAAAACTGTGATAAGGGGGGACAAGTATTGATTTTATAAAAGGAACATGGACACGAGATCTCGCGTGATTCTGTCGCGACGATATTTTTACATTTTTGCAAACGTTTGATAAAATTTATATAATAACACTTTATATGGAGAGGGATCCCTTGTTGCAAATGGGATCGATGATCTTCGTGTCAAGATTAATTAGAAAATAGAATATTTACAAAAATTGGTGGCATTTTCGACGTATAATGCAATGAAATGATATTCGTATTCTTAAATTATCCAATGATCATCCACATCCCGAAAGAACACGTGTCTAATGCTTGCGAAATGCAAATTCGAGCGGTGTAATAAAATCCAATCCAGAAACTTCGTTAATTAAACCTTTTAGTTCGAACTCTTTTCACTTTTCATTCCACGATTCGAGAGATTCTTCGTTAAGAAATCGCGGCCGATAGTTAATCGCCCTACTCTCTCGGTCCACGCTTCTTTTTCCACGAAACGAGAAATATTTATACAAAACAATTCGATACCCTC